GCTTAGCATAATGCTCTCCAGGTCCCTCAATGTCATCTCAAAGAATAAGAGATCTTTCTTTCTTATAGCTGCATAGTATTCCGTTGTGTAAATGTACCACAGCTTTTTCTTTCTTTATTGATTTTAGAGAGAGAAGAAGGTAGAGGGAGAGAGAGAGAAGCATCAATGAGAGAGAACATCGATTGGCCATGTCCTGCGTGCACCCCACTGGGGATTTGGCCCACAACCTGAGCATGTGCCCTGACTGGAATCGAACCGGCGACCTCTTGGTACACGGGTCGACGCTCAACCACTGAGCCACACTGACTGGGCACCCCATCTTTTTTTATCCACTCATCTATTGATGGACACTTGGGCTGTTTCCAGATCTTAGCAATTGTAAATAGTGCTGCTATGAACATAGGGGTACATATATTCTTTCTGATGGGTGTTTAAGCTTCTTACAATATAGCCCTAGAAGCAGGATCACTGGATCAAATGGCAGTTCAATTTGTAATTTTTTGTTTTCCATAGTGGCTGCACCAGTCTGCATTCCCACCAGCAGTGTACTAGAGTTACCTTTTCTCCACACCCTCACCAGCACTTGTTGTTTGATGATTTGTTGATGGCGGCTGTTTGTTGATGGCGGCAGGTTGTCTATTGATTTTAGAGAGAGAGGAAAGGGGAGAGAGAGAGAAAGACGACAGTGTGAGATACACTGAGCAGTTGCCTCCAGTACTTGCCTCGACCGAGGATTGAACCTGAAATCTGGGTACGTGCCCTGACTGGGAATCGAACCCACAACCTTTTGATGCATGGGATGACAGTCCAACCAACTGAGCCACCTGGCCAGGGCTCATACAGTGTTTTACACACCTCATTTGGCAAGTATGTAAATATCTCGAGGATAAATTCTTAGCACTGGGATTATTGAGCCAAAGGGTGTGTGTCAAAGGGTTTAAACACGTGGATCTCACTGTGACTTCACCTCCCAGATCACTTAAAAAAAAATGAATACTTGTATTTTTTTTCTCCTTTTCCTGCCTGCCTGCTGCATTCCTTCCTTCCTGCATGCCTGCCCGCCCACCCTCTTCCTTCAGTCTCTGAGTTTGACTTGGGTAGTTTGTTGCCCAGAACAGTTGGAATATTCTGGAACTTTAAACTTTGTAGGAGGCACGACCGTGCCCTCTGGTGTTACTTTCCAGGGTGGAGCTGCAGAGGCCATAACCAGTTCCCCACTGAAGGTCCTTGTCTTCAGGCCCTTCTTTCGGGCCCGGGCGCTGGTGACAGGCGCGAGGCCCGCCTCCTGCTCCACGCGGTCATCCCTGGAGGCGCCGGCAGATGGCAGACAGAGCACAACCGGCGGCCTGGCCTTTGTAAGGCTCTCTGGAGAGCAGCCAGAATCAGAGCCTTTGGACCCTTTCCCAGTGACCTGCCCTCGCAGCAACAAGCCCAGCTCAGCGGGGTGGGGTTGCCTGATCCTTTCCTCTCACTTAGTTTTGCAGCCATTTCTTAAATGAGTGAGCAGTTCACAATCTCCAGCAGCTGCCTTGAGATAGGATTCAAGAGGCCACACCCCAGGGTGACAGCCTGGTGCCTACTCCCCATCCAGGAACTAGTTGGAAGGATTTACATACCATGACCTGGATGGCTTGGGTTTTCTTAATTGTAGGGCTCTACTTCCTGTCTGTTTCAGCCAAATCTCCCACACCCTTCCCATGAATTAGGAGGTCTTCAGAAGAGACTCTTACTCACCACCCTCTGCTCCACCCACTGAGCCAGAGGTTTGAGAAGCCCTGGGGTGAAAGTGCTGATCCTTGGCCCACCTTCGGGGGCACAAGCCCCTGGGGATTAGCTGAGCCCAGGCCTCAGGCTGAGAGCAACCCCAACCCCTAAATTTGTGTCCCATGGAATCCCCATTTCTCTTGCTTACTGTGTCTCTGACAGAGACCTGCCCAGACCTCCTTCAGGCTGGGTCTGGGCCTTCTTTGTAGGGGAGACCAACTCCAGCCTTCCCAGGAGACCCAGGGAGGTGGGCGGGCACAGGACGGTGCTGGTAGGAAGAGGGAAGAAGTGGCAGCTGCAGGGTGAGTGGTGGCCTCTTCCCCGCCGCTCCCCCCCCCCCCCCCCCCCGCAGGAGACTAGCCATGTTTGGGGTGGTGGCAGCATTGGGGGCCCTGGGAGAGGTGTTCCTCTGGGTCCCCAAAGCTCTCCTACTCCTAGTTTAGGTCCCCAGACCTTTAGGGACAGCTGGGTTTTTTCTCAGGCTGGTGAAGTGATACGGGACAGAGTGGGTGGGGACATTCAGGGCAAGGAATTATCCGTGACGTGGGCCAGTCCATTCTCTGCCAGGGTGGCTGAGGTCTCCGCAGTCATCCTGAGCCCGAAGCGGGGTTAACCCATGTGAACGACACAGCTTGCAAGACTCAGGCTCAGGGCCCGGGATGGGGTGGGGGGGCTGGGGAGGTTCAGGGAAGGGCTGGCAGGGGGCCATCCTCTGTGAGCTCCCCAGGATCATTTCCCAACAAAGCAGGAATTTGCATACTCATGGTTTCCCCATCAGCTTCTCAGATTCTGGAACCAGGAAAAGAAGAGGAAAGCACACGGGGCAGCCCCCAGCCTGACCCCCCAGTGCCTCAGCACCTGAGCTGCTGTCCCAGGCCGCCCAGGCCCGGCCCCTCTCCTGCACAGGAGCCCATGAGAACCTTACAGCTGCCTGGTGAGGCAGGCCAGGGAGCTGGGCTGTGCCAGGGGCGGGCGTCACCCAGGGCCGCACAGCCAGCCGGGGACTCGCACCCAGGCGTTCTTCCTCTCATGCTGCTGCCGCCACCGAACCGAGAGAGTTATTATCTTATCACATCTCGAGGGATGCAGGGGTCATTGTGTCTCTTTTACAGGTGGGGACACTGAGACCCCATTCATAAAGGTGCTTCAGAGGGTGGGGCCAGAGATGGTGGGAGAGAGATCCTGGGTTTCGGGCCTAGCAGCCTCTAAGTGGCTCTGCCTGGAAGTCAGATTGAGAAAGAGGCTGGAGGGAAGGCTGCAAACCCCGGACGGCCAGCCCAGCCTGGCTGGGGCTGCCAGGAAAGCAGGATACACGCTCAGGGCGCTGAACTGCCTTAATCCTCCCAGAGCTCAGCCCCAGTTGGCACCTGCCACGTGGGCTCCGCTGTCCTTGTCGGTGCCTGTCAACAAGCCACAGGGACAGACTTGGTCTCCAGGCATTCTACAGCCAGCCTGGACCTGCCACCTCCTGCCCACTCCTGTAGGATCTGCCCCACCCTCCCCCACAAAGCAGAGGCAGCAAATGACCAGGAGTTCAGCTCTGGTCAAGGGCCAAGTGTGAGCTCTCAAGTCTATGGACGGGCGGCTGGTGGGGTGGGGGGAGGGATGAAGGCACCCTGTTCTGTTTCCAGACCCCCTGAGGCCTCACTGCCCTCATGCTCCATTGTGGGGTACAGACAGAGGCTTGGTGGGTGGGGCTGCTGGGTACCTGCTGCTGAGCAGGTAGCTGAGGTCATGTCACTGTCGTGCTCGAGGGATTCCTCTGCGAACAATGTAAAGGGAAGAGGGTTGTGGGGTGTGAGGCTGAGCACCCCGCATCCATCCCTCAGGATTGTGGGGCCAGGGGACCGGAATTCGAGGCCCTGCCCCAGTCCATCCCTCTCCGTGGGACCTTGGGCAAGTCCCTCAGCATTGCCAGTGGCTGATAATAAACAGGACAGTCCAGTATGTTAGCTTCCTGTCCCATAAAAACAGAAGCCCATAAATAGCCTCGTAACCTGGAGTACACTTCTTCATTGGGGAAACAAGATTTTATGAGTATGCAATGACACAGCTTTGTGCTGATCGACTTCCTGAGGAGGCCGGAAGCCACAGGCCTGGGGTGCCTTGGTGACAGTGGGACTGGGCATGGACTCCTGCCTCACGCCGGCGAGGGAGGCTCGTGAAGCGCGGTGGCGGGGCGAGCCCGCCCGAGTGGCGTTTCTCCGTATGCTGCACGGCTGTCCTGTGGTGAAGCAGTTTCTCAAAAAAAAAAAAAAAGATGCCCTAAAAGCTTCACGAACAGTATGTACAAATTAGGTGAGATGGTCAAAGATATAATTATGAAAACTATATTTTTTTTCATTTCCCCTGTCAATGGTGTTTGTTTGGGGATCATCTGACAGCCCAGCTTTTCACTTAAAATATTTAATATTTATACCTCAATTTTTTATCTGCAAAAATGAGAGAAAGAGAGCGAGCGAGCGAGAGATGTATATTCTTACCTGGCCCCTTCCCTCCTGGGGGGGACGGCAGGTTGAGATGGTGGGTGGAGGAGAATAGAGCCCAGCCAGAGCAACACCACAGGCCTCTAATGAGCACTTTCTATGTGCCAGGCCACTGGGTCACGCGCCCAGCTTGTATGATCTGACGTCCTCCCCACAGCGACCCTGGAAGGCAGGTACCATTATTATCCTCACTTCAGAGATGAAGAAACTGAGACCCAGGGAGAAGCAGTCACTTGCCCCAGGTGACATCATTGGTGGCAGAGCCGGTTCTTGAGTTTGGGACCATGACCTTCTACCCTGCCACTTGGGTTAGCCTGGCGTTGCCACTCCAGGCTGCTTCTGCCCCAGCGCCCCCGCCCGCTCTCTGACTCTAACTCCATCTCTGGGAGAGTAGGATCAGAGCCCGAGGGCCCCCATTCCCACTCCACCCAGCTCCCCTGGGAGCATCTTCTGACAGGTGGTTTCCCGTCCTGTCTGGTCATAGGACAGGAAAGGGGAACAGCTCCCCCTACACCAGTCTCAGGACTCCAGGCTCGTCCACCTCTGCTTCTCACCTCCCCGCACCCTGCGCACGTCCATGGCCTCCTCTCAAGCCTGGCCCAGGGCCTCACAGGGATGCCTCTGCCCCCAAGGACGGAGCACTTGGGGGAGCTTGGCAGGGCTGTGCGCACACCTCTGACCCTCCATCCTCCAAAGGCCAGCTCAACCCTCAAGCACAACAAAGACCATCACCTCTTAAAGGGGCTCACATTGTATTTTATTGACATGTTAGGGGGGCATAGACTTTCCACCTAAAATATGAACATTACACTCATCTCCCCCCATCTGTGGGGAAGGGTGAATGACTCGAAGTGCGAAGAAGAGAGGGCAGGGGCAGAGGACATGGCATAGGCGAACTGAGTGGACAGAAGGTAGGTTATTAAGAAGCATCTTGCTTACTAACATGAAGCCTCATGCCCAAGAGAGCATGGATGAGGCCTCATTGGCTTAGAGGAGCGGCCCTTGGAGGGCAGGCACACGGTGCCCAACTAGCCAGCAAGGCTGGCATCCCAGGGACGGGGTGGAGGTGGGGGCTGTGTACAGGGCCCCCAGCTCAGGCCTCTGCTCCCCCGCCTCCCTCCCCGCCCTCTGAGGGAAAGGAGGGTTTGGGCTTTAGCCACGGACCGACGGCCGTTACTGGCAGCGTCTCCTTACACTACAGAGATACAATGTGCATCAACAGGGTGATCGCTTCTCACCCACTCGGCGGACAGCTAGTGGTGCCGAACGGGTCAGAACCAATCCTACAGTATCTTTGGTTTGTGGGTTCCCTTCTCTACTTTAATCCTCCCTCTGTCCAGCCTCCAGGGTGGGCCTCAGGGCAGGAACAGGCCACTCGGGGGCCCGCAGCCCAGCCTGATGGCCCTTGGAGGGCCGCCAGGGCTCCTATTCGCTGAGGTGCTGGGACTTGTAGGAGAGGATCTGGGCCGCCAGCTGCTGGGGGTCCAGGAGCTGTGGAAAGCGCCCCATCACGGCCTCCACCAGTTGTGGGGGGAAGACGCCACACAGCTTGGTGTACACACTGGCTCGCTCCTTGGCCAGGCTGCCTGCCCCACCCCACGGGCCCCTGTCGGCCCCCGGGCTTGGCACCTGGGGCTCCTGCAGGACTGGGGTGGGCTGGGGCAGCTGGTATGGCTCAGACCAGTACTCTCGAGGCGGAAAGGCAGCTGGCGGGGGTGCGTAGTCGGCAGGGACACTGAAGTGGCCGGCACCCACGGCCCGTCCAAAGTTAGAGAAGGCTGCAGCGGCCGGGAGCTCGGCCCCGTAGGGGTTATAGCCAGTGTAAGGGCCCCGAGGGGGGCCTGGCTCAGCAGAGCCCCCCCCTCGACCCCCCCACAGTTCTGACATCTGGCTCTCCAGGGAGCCGATGCCCGAGTCCAGGCAGTCCTGGGAGGTGTACGGGAGAGAGTCGAGGATCTGTGGGAACCAGTCCGTGGGCCCAAAGCTGTTGCCGCTGCCGCCACTGGGTGGGAGGCTCCTGCCGGTGTTTGCCGGGGCAAAGGTCTGGGTCAGACCCTCTCGGTGAGGCCCTGGGGGTGCCTGGGCTCCCAGCTTCTTCCCTTCCTGGCTGCACTGCTCACGCTCCGTGGGCAGAGAGCCGGGCTGAGACGGAGGTGAAGGCCGCCGGCCGCGCCTGTCCTTGCCGGGGGCCTGCGGCGGGGAGAGGAGGGCGTTGGCACGGAGCTCGTCTGCCACGGAGCGCTGGGGGCGGCTGGGCCTCTCGGGGTGGAAGAACCGGCACTTGATCCCGTAGGTGCACTTCCTCCCTGCAGAGAAGGGAGGGGGCTCTGAGCAGGGCATCCCTAGGACCAGGGGAGGTCCCTCCGAGGAAGAACTTGGGTGCAGGCAGATCTGTGTGAGGGGAGGGGAGGAGCGAGGAGGGCCGTGGAGGGTGGGGCTGGTCTCTTACCGTAGGGACACTGCTGCTTCCTGTGCTCGGCTGTGAGCGGCTTCTTCCGAAGGAAGTTGTCCAGGTTTGGCCCGTGACGGCCCAAGGGGTCATCGGGGGGCATGAACCTGCAGAAGAGGTGGCAGACATGAGGGGGACTTCCAAGTACTGGAAGGGGGCTGGACAGTGAGCCTCACTTGGAATGATAGGAGGGTAGCTCCTAAAACCGGAGCCCACCCAGCAGGACACCCCTGGGCAACCCTCATGCTAGGAGCTCTCTGAGGCCACAGGGAGGTGGGCAACCTGAAAATCTGAATCGAAGGCTGTCACTGGCTTCTGGTCAGAGGTCCAGTGCTGGGAACCCAGAGGCTCTCTTGGAACCACAGACCACATTCTGTTACAAATGCTACAGCTCTGCCCAGTTGGTGTGGCTCAGTGGTTGAGCGTCGATCCGTGCACCAAGAGGTCGCCGGTTCAATTCCCAGTCAAGGCACATGCCCAGGTTGTGGGCCTGGTCCCCAGTGGGGAGCATGCAGGAGGCAGCCAATCCATGTTCTCTCTCATTGATGTTTCCATCTCTCCCTCTCCCTTCCTCTCTCTCTGAAATCAATGAAGAAAAACACACACACAAAAACGAATGCTACTGCTCTGGCCTGGCCAGGGTGGCTCAGTTGGTCGAGCATCACCCTGCACACTGAAAGGTAGCTGGTTTGATTCCCAGTCAGGGCCCCTACCTGGGTTGCAGGTTCAATCCCTGGACAGGGTACATACGGAAGGCAACTGATTGATGTTTCTCTCACATGGATGTTTTGCTCTCTCTCCGTTCCTTTCTCTAAGCATGTCCTCAGATAAAGATTAAAAAAAAAAAAAAAAAAAAGAGGCTACAACTCTGCCCCCCAAATCAAAACCCCTCGGCCTCAGCCTGGTCCCAGTCTGACCCTTCTTATGCGGCGCTGTGTCCATTTCCCTATCAAAGCTGCATGGTCCCCCCGTGCAACCCCCCCGGCGGGAACGCACTTGTCATTGACGAAGGAATACATGAGCAGCCGCTCCTCGATGAAGCGCTTCCACTCCTGCCGCTCGCCCTGGAGGTCCCGGTACGTGTCGTTGGAGACCACCACCCCGTCAGACTCGAAGGCCAGTTTCACGATGAAGCGGTCGTCATAGCACACCACACGTTTGCCACCCACGCGCCGGGACGGAGTGAACACCAGGATCTTCTTCTTCTCCAGTTCCCGCAGGATGTGCTGGTCTGGGAGGCGGCAGGGGCACAGGTCAGAGCTCGGCCTGGACCCAGAGCCAGGCCCACTGGGCTCCCAACCTCCTGGTGGCTGGCACAGGGGCTCCTGGCTGCGGGGCAGGAGGCGGCTGTGCTGAGGCCACTACCACACCTCAGCCCCTCCCCTGGGCCCTGCGCACAGTCTGCTGCCCAAAACTCAAGAACACTTCCCTGGCTGGTTTGGCCCAGCGGTCAGAGCGTCGGCCTGCAGACCAAAGAGTCCGGGTTTGATTCCGGCCAAGAGCACGCACCTCGGTTGTGGTTCATCCCCGGCTCTGGTTGGGGTTGTGCAGGTGGCAACCAATTGATGTGTCCCTCTCATGTTGATGTTTCTCCCTCTCTCCCCCTCCTACTCCTCTGTCTGAAAGTAAATGTAAAAATATCCTCAGGCGAGGATTAAAAAAAGATCGAGAACACCTGAGATGAGGCCTGTGCGTCTGCTCAGCAAAGGCTGCAGAGCATACACTGGGCCCTCTCCTTTCCCCCCTGAACATCAGGCCTGTTCATGCCACAGAGGGACTTTGGTGCTCACCCAGCCAGTCCCATAGGGGTCCGCGAATGACCCCAGCGTGAGCTGGGGCAGGGGATGTGTCTCGGCTGTGTCTCCTGTGTAGCCAGGACAAAGCTATAAGAGCCCATCCAGAAGGGGCCACTTTTCCCAGAGCAGATGGCCCTAGCCAGCCTGTCCCAGATCTTAAGACTTCTAGGGAAATAAACTCGGGTTCTACTCCCAAAGCGAGGGGGCTCTTGCTGTAAGAGCTGGCTAACAGCGGACATTTACTATGTGCCAGTCACCCTTCCTAGCACTTACCATGTATTAACTCGTGATCCTCACAATAACCCTGTGATGGTATCCACCCCCACCCGTCTCAGGGGAGGAGCAAATGGCTGAGCAGGGCGCCCAGAAGGGACAGAGCCAGGGTTCCAGAGCCCATGGGCTCAGTCACCACTGTGCTGCCCCGCGCCACTGGGGCAGTGGAGAGGGCGTCGCACCATGAGACGAGGGACGTTTCCAGTACTCAGCAGAGGCTGCACAGGTGACCTCAAATGACCCCTGCCTGGGGCAGGGATGCCGAGGAGAGCACACGCGGAGAAAAGAAATGCCGCTCCCTGCTTGAGGCCTGGAAGTCGTTGGTCACACACACAGGGTCTGTCCTGGGCAGCAAGCTGACCCCTGTCCAGAGGTGTCCCTCACCTGTGATGGGCACGTCGGGCCGAGGCTGCTCCTTTCTCCAGGACGGCACAAACACGGTGATGTCCGTGTGGCCCCGCTCCAGAAACCAGTTCACGGCCAGCAGGATGCCCCGGCAGGAGAAGACCTCCTTGTTCCCGTGGCTGCAGGGGCGCAGAGGGAGGGGGTCAGCCCGCGAGGCCTGGGCAGGAGGGAGGTGGGTCACACGCCAGCCCCTCCCTGGCTCAGCCCACTCCTCAGGCTGGGGCCCTGGGCTGCATTCCCTCCTGGTTCCCACAGCACCCGGGATGAGCAAACCCGGGACTTTCCCTGAGGTTCCATCTCCCGACACGAGGAAACGCCCAGGAACCTGGCAGCACTCGCTCCCTGCATGGGGCAGGGGCAGGCTGCTTGCAACACACCTGGGGGTGGGGGAAAGGCACTGGAGACTTCTGGTTCCTGCCCCACCCGGGGGGTGCTGGGACGAAGGGGACACTGATGTACACATGCAGACTGAGTCACCACCCCTCCCTCACCCAGGGGTGGGGGTAGGGAAGGCACAGCCCCACTAACAGAAGAGAAACCAGATTGCTCTGGATTAAAGTTCAGTCCTGCACTAACCTCTAAGGATGTGGGGGTGGGGCTGGGACTGAGGAGGGCGAAGGGGAAGAAGCCACATCCCAGCCTTCTGGCCAGTCTGGGCCAGACGGAGCAGGCTGCAAACCTTTTGGTTTGAAAGTGAAAGGATACTGCTTTTCCTCTCAAGACCGCCAATTCCCCAAAATGCCTAGATTGCCCTGTCCTCTCTTCACCCCCTCAGAAGGGCAGGCCTCAGGCAGAAAGACTGTGGCCAGGGGACTGAGAGCCGAAGGGACATGCCCCTGCCCTGGCCCCAGGACCAGACCTCCCCATCCTCATGTGGACGGGTCCAGAAGGAAGCCCTGAGGTGCTGCTGGGTTGTTCTGGCTCAGTTTCCGTGTCTGAAAAATGGGACCGGTCATCTGCAGCCTCCTTACAAAGGGCCCAGATCAGTGGGACAACTTTCCTGTTTGCTTGAGGCCGAGACAATCCAGAAAAGTGAGGGGTCCCACTGGATTCCTAGGAGGCTGGGGGACTCCCAGGTACACTGGTGTGGTGGAAGGGCTCCAGACCAGGCTGGGGGCCCTCCCCGACACTGCTACTCCTCACTAATCCCTCTGTGAACAACTCAGACTCTCCTATTCCGCAAATAAAACTATAAAACTATAAACGTTACACAAAAGAGGCAAGTCCATGGCCAACCACATCCTGTAGGTGGCTTTTGGCGGTGGGGGGTGGGGTTTGGAGTGGGGGGGGCGGGTGATAGCCGGAGTCACAGAAGGCAGGGCCGCTCCGGGGGACAGAGCTGCCTGGGGGCGCGGCTGGGACTCCCAGGTCTGAAGGGCTGTGTAAACTGGAGGGGAGGCAAAGTCCAGCCCGAGGGCAGCGCTCATCCTCACCTGCTGGGGCCTCCCCCAGCCCGTTTGTGATAAAAGTTAACATTTACTGAGTGCTCTGAGCCGGGCCCTGATCTAAGTGCTTCACACAGAATCGCCAGCAAGCCCCTGGGGGAGGGTACTGTCATTAAAGGCTCCTTTCCCCTTTTTTCAGATGAGAAAACTGGTCCACAGAGGGCAACGCGTTGCCAGCACCACACGGCAGCAATTGTGGGACAGAGATGCCCGTGCTCAGAAGCACTATGTTGATGCTCAGACAGGTGCCAGCCCTGCCGGTGGGACGCAGCGGGGACTGGCGGTACCCGGCTCCTATCAGAGGCCAGGTGCATCACATTCCTCCTTGCTCCATCCTTACCAAGGCTAGCTGCAGTGAAGGAAACCAAGGCTCTGAGGCTCATCTAAGATCCCCTGGCTAGTGGTAAGGGACAGAACTTGAACCCATGTCCGGGGCCACTGGATTGCCTTCCTGTCCCCAACAGTAAGACCTGAAGTTTATTTAGGAGAAAAAAGTTCCCCAACTTGAGTTTGAACCAAGTGTTAGGAGGGAGGGGCAGGCTGGGGACAGGAAAAATGATGCATCTAGCAAACTTCTCTTCTGTCAGGTCCTGTGTGAGGCATCACCACCTCTGAGAAGCTTCCCTGACCTTCCCGGATGGGTCAGGCCCTTGGTCTGTCCTCATAATGCTCGTTGCAGTAAGAGAGGCTAAAGTGAGCGTAGGGAGGTGCTCCCATCGGGCATTCTGCTTCCCCCAACACATTCCTCCCTTCCCTGGAGCTTCAGCTCTAACTTCCCAAGACTGCGGGGGTGATCTTTCCGGCTTGGCTTCCTCTCTCAGGTATGCAGTCTGCACAGGCATCGACCTACCTCCTTGCATACACACGTGTGTACATGCATCTGGCCCATTCTAGGCCAGCGTCTTTGAGGCCTGGAACTTAATGGAATGCCAGAGCTTTTGGGACAGCCTACTGCCTTTGGGCATCAAAAACCTTGGCTGGGGCCCTGGCCAGTTTGGCTCAGCGGCTGGAGCATCGGCCTGCGGACCAGAGAGTCCCGGGTTCGGCTCCCACTTGGGGCACGTACCAAAAAAGATAAAAATAAAACAAAACAAAACAACCTTGGCGGGGGACAAGTCTACTCTCAGCAGCCCTAGCCATCAGAATATCCCCTCGGCAGGTAGTCAGTCGTACTCTTGGCAGAAGTAGAACATCACACACTGACTGCCCTCCCAGACCAGAGCTCCTCCTTATAGCTAACTTCAGTCCCTCTCATTGCAATAAAAGAAGCTCGGCTGGCATAGGAAAACCAGGTATCCTCCAACCCCCACCACAGTCCTGTTTGCCCAGAAGGTCAGGGACCCTCCGCCTGGCTAACTAGATGCTGGTAAGACGTGTAGGAGACTCTAGCCCAGCAGTTCCCACCCTAGGACAGAGGGCAGGGCCAAACCAGGCTACCCAGGTGAACAGATCTGCCAGGGCTGGGCTCAGCTAGAGAAAAATTCCCTTAGAAGGAAACAGAGGTGAATTTCCCCACGATTTGCATACAGTGGGGGCTGGCCCGCCTGCCCTTGTGGTGGAGGGGCACCAGGGCAGAAACCCAGAAACAGCTGAGACAGGAAGTCTCAGGCTGGAATTCCCCTCTAGCTCCAGCCTCAGCTCAGAAACCCCCAGTGGCTCTGCCTCTCCAGCCAGCTCCTCAGGCCACCCCCGCCTCGATCTGCCCCTCCCTCCCAGGCTCCTCCTCTTTCTTCGAGGATACAAACACACAAACAACACATGCACATGGCTGCTACCACCGCAGCGAAGCCCCAGAGGAAGGAGTCACAGATCTCCTAGGCACACACTGCTGGAGCTGAAGCCTGAGAGGGGACCCCTAACTGTCAAAGCATATACATGCATTGACCAGCAGCCACTGGCATTTGGGAGCCAGCTTTACCCAACCTTCCACCCATTTCAGAGACTGGAAGACTCACCTAAAGATGGCTTAAGCTGGGCCAGGGCCAACCAAACAGCTGACTTGACCCAGCTAGGCAGGAAGTGGGAGGGGCTGAGGGGCCAAAGGCATTGCAGCCCCAGACGCAGACTTCCAACGTGGGAGATCCCTGAGGGCAGTCTGGGGTCTCCCCCTGTCCACACCCACAGGAACTTTTCCTTGTGAACAATCTGTCTGCTAGCCCTGACTCACCTGCTCTCATTGGAGGGACTAGAAGAAAGAAAGGCCAGGGGCAACCCTGGCCCCATTCCACCCCATTCCCTATTAAAGCCTGCATGAGGGGAAGTGGTACTGGGGTTGAGTCCTGGCTCTGGCCCCTAGGAGCCCCCAGAGCCTGGTCCAGCCCAGGTGGCTCCTGCTGAATCAGAATGGACCCAAGTCACAGCTCACCTGAAGCCAATGCATCAGGTCACCGGGCCACACCCCCCTCAAAGAACCAGGTCCTCGAGGTCACTCTTGGTCATAGCTACAAAGGCCTCAGGAGCTGGGCCTGCTTCCATGGAAACCCAGGTCTGAGATGACAAGGCCTCAGAAGCCCAGACCCTGAATAATTGTAATAACATCAACTACTGCTGTTTCCTGAGTAGTTACTCTCTCTAGGGACTACACTGACTGCTCACGACCACCTGAGGGGGTAGGTCAGACCTGCTTACAGATGAGGAAAGAAGGCTGAGAGCGAGCTGGACCTCGGTCTGACCCTTCCACTGTACTGCAAGTAACAGGAGAGAAACTCAGACTGAGTGTGGGCCCTTGGGAAGAGACAAAGAGCGCAAAGCGAGCTCTGGAGACAGAGGACCCAAGCTCGAATCTTTGCTCCACTGCTCCCCAGTAGTGTGACCCCGAGCAAGTCTTTGAGCCTCTGTGCTCATCCCTAAAACATTACAAGAAGCCATGAGGATTATGGGAGCCTCCTGGCACACAGTAGGGCCTCAATAAAGGGCTTTCCCTTCCTTTAGTGTGTGAGAAGAGGTCAGACTCTTCCCTGAAGGCCCCTCTACCAGAGGTGCAGACACAGGGCCACCATTCCTGGAGACGTCTTGGCTGCAAAAGTGACACGTACCTCATGGCCACATTGCTCCCGTCGATGACCACAGGCCTCAGGTCACTGCCCTCCTTGTCCTCCTCTATGGGTGAGGGCTCCAGGGTGGGAGCCTTGGGGGTGCCCCCACCCCGGGGGACCAGAGGAAGCTGAGAAGAGGGGTCTGGTGAGGCCTGGCGCTCACGGTCAGCTGCAGACCCATGTTTTACCAGCTCGCCTAACACTGTGTTGGTGTCTGCGTGGACCCCCAGCTTCTGCAGGACACTGTGGATCTCAGCAGATGAGTAGCCCAGCTTTCGGAAGAAGTCCACCTTCATCTGCAGCTCCACAGCGGATGGGTCCTCAGTGGAGGGCTCCTGGGCTGGCCTGGGGGTAACTTGGCAGCTGTGGCTGTTTTCAAGTTCCCATAGACTCATTGTGGGGGCTGGCTTCCTGGGTGGGCCTCTCTCCACCAGCCACTCACAGATCAGATTGGTGGAAGTCACCTGTCACAGCTCCTGGTAGGAAAACCACAAGTATTAGGGATGGGGAATGGCTCTCGTCCATCCTGCTCTGGCCCCGCCCCACCCAACCAGATGAGGCAACTCTGGTGGCACTATGCATACATCTGTTAGTACTTTCAAAAGCTCTCCCAGCTAGGGATCCTCATTCCCAAGGATGAAACTGAGCCACAGACATTAAAATCTTGCTCAAGGTCATCCAGCTGGTTGGCTGGTGTCGCAAGGATTTGAACTTAGGCAGTGTGACTCCACCTCCTACCCCAAACTCAGCCCCACACCAACCCAGGGGACCCAGATGTCCTGGGAGGCCTTAGAAGACCTTGCCGCGCCCCCACAGCTGCGGGGCGGGGCGCTCGGATGGAAACCTAGGGTTGGAAGTGCTCGGTGGGGGGCGGGGGGGACGGGGGCTTCCCCGCTGAGGCCTTCGCCCCCGCCCGCCTACCCTGCGCTCCGAGCCAGGCCCAGGAGGCGCAGAGCCCGTGGCCGAACTCCTGGGCCGGGAGAGAACTTTCCGGGGAGACCCACCAGCGAGAAAAGTTGCTGTGAAACTCTGGTTGGCCGCCGGGCTCGGTGACGCGGAGACTGTCCCGGCCCCGACTCCCTAGGCTCCCCCTCCGGAGCTTGGTCTCCCTTACCCCGGGTTCCCTCAACTTGGGCTAAGTTGGAGGGGGGGGGCCCGAGAACCCGCGAGGCCGGCGGGACCAGCCCCACATCCCTCCCCGCCCCCTCCCGCCCGCGGCTCGCGCCCTCTCCCCACCGCGCGCAACTCACCCCGCCGTGCGCCTGGGGAGGCCGGCGGCGTCTCCATGGGGCCGAGTCCCAGGGGCAAGGCCAGCCGAGCCTTTATACGGGGCGGTAGGCGGGCAGGTTGCGCTAAGGACTGAGACGCGGAAGCCCCGTAGGCGAAGAGCTAGTCGGCCACCGCCCCTTCCTGCTCCGCCCCGCGCCGTCCCGCCCCGCCGCCGGCCCCGCCCCGTCCTCGCCTCGGGCTCCGCCGCCGCTCGCGAGCGCTGCGGGCCCGGCCGGAACGGGGGCTGGGGCGCCGGGACGCCGCCCAGGCTGCCGGCCTCCAGGCCCCGGCGGCGAGGCGATCCAGAGGGTGGGAGTGCAGGGCCCGCGTGTGGAAGGAAAGCACAGGCTGCACCAGGTACGCGCGCCGAGTCGGGCACGGCTGACCGCGTGCGTACCGAGAAGCCGGACAGGTCCAGCCACGTACACTCACACGCTTGACAAGTACGGCCTCCGACAGAGTGAAGGTGCAGTCGCAGATGCAGAGAGGGAATCAGGTACACAGAGTGTGGTCCATGCACCACTGGAGGTAGGGTCATAATGATAAAGACAGGTACACCCAGATAGGCACACTCAGACACTTGGGGTCGAGACTGGAACGCTCAGCAGGTACACCGTGAGGAGCAGGAACACAGCGGTGGGGCCGCACTCAGGGCCAGGCACGCGTTTTCTGAAATAAGGACCTTACCAGGAGAGGAAGGCAGGTACAACTAACACGTACACGGCGATGAGGCGGAAAACCAGGCAGTGGAGGTGCAGTGACACCAGCGCCCTGTGAGTGTTCACAGAGTGTTCACACTTACAGCTGTGAAATTCAGAGGCCGTCCCGCCCTCCCCCAGGATGCTTCTAGGTTCCCAGGTCAGCCAGTCAGGATACCACACTGAGCACAACACTTTACAGTATCTACCCATGGGCTTAGCTAAGGGAGACAGAGTCTATTATGTCTATTGTACCCTAGAGGAATTCAGAAAAGGCTTGATTTCCCCAGCTGGAAAGACTGGGAACCAGACCAGGAGCTTCCATTCCAGGGCATCAGGTGCTACCTTTGCCACTTTTGAAACCACCAGTGACCTAGGACAGAGGGAAGACTTTTCTGGTAGAAGAGTGAGGCCTGGAACCTGCCTTCAAATGTGTGTGTGTGTATGTGTGTGTGTGTGTGAACAAAGGGAACACATGGAACCCACAAGCTAGAGGACAAGTCTGGCCGTGCTACCAGCTCACTTTGCAGATGTGGAAAATGAGTCCAGGGAGCCAAAGTACTCAATACTGAGCGTTTCCTATGTGTACCAAGACTTTACTTACATCTTCTCTGCCTTATCATAGGCATGTGTCTATCCTGTAAGGCTACATGTTATTAGTGTTGTAAACAAACATTGTTTATTGTAAAAGACACCATAAACTCTATACATGTGCAACTTAATGGATAATAATAATAAAACATCCATATATCTGTCACCTAACTTAAAAAACAGACCTGTGCCAGTACCTTTGAGGCCTTCTGTGTACCTCCATTTCAATCTCTTACCCCCATTCTGAACAACCACTTTCTTGAATTTTGTTCTAATTATGATCATAATTTTTTGCTATTTTAAAATTTTGTCACCTTTGTATAATCCCTAAATAATATATTAGTTTTACTTTTTTTTTTTTTACTTTGTGCAAATGGAATCATTCTATATGATTATGTGACTTCCTTTTTTCATGTAACATTTAAAAAATTTATTGATTGATTTTAGAGAGAGAGACATACATCAATTTCTTGTTCTACTCATTTATGCATTCATTGGTTGATTCTTGTTTGATCCCTGACTGGGGATCAAACCCACAATCTTGGCATATTGGGATGATGCTCTAACCAACTGAGCTGCCCGGCAAGGGAATCTTTTATTTTTAATCACTTTTATTGGCTATGTATATATAATATATTTATTTTACTGTTGAATAATATTCCACTTTAGAATATACTACTGGTTATCCATTCTTGTGTTGTTAGATGTTGTTTATAGGATTTTCTTTCTTTTTTTTTCCCTCATCCAAGGACATTTTTCCATTTTTTTATTCAGATAGAGTGGGAGGGAGAGAGAGAGGAAGAAAGAGAGAGAAACATTGACGTGAAAGGGACACATCGAATGGCTGCCACCCGTACGACCAACCAGGGCCGGGGACAAACTGCAACCGAGTTACATGCCCTTAGTGGGAACCAAACCTGGGTCTCTCTGGACTGCGGGCCGACGCTCTGACCACTGAGCCAAACCGGCCAGGGCTTTCTTTCTTTCTTCTTCTTCTTTTTTTTTTACTATTATAAAGAGTATGCTTTGGATATCCTTGTAGCTGCTTTAATGCAGGTGTGGTTCAGGGACTGGACTCTTGGAGATTCAGAAAGGTTGTTACTTGCCCAGGCTCCTAGGGCTGGTGGAGCTGGAAATCTCACAGCTCTCTCCAAGGCATCCATCTCCATGTGGACACCTGCTTGTTCCTGGAGGCCGCAGGCCACCCCAGGGAGGGGGGAACATGCATTTCTAGTTCAGTCCTGTAGCTGTTCCCCTCCTGTGTGCCCCTCAGGGACACAGCAACCTCAGCCACTCTCACTGAGCACTGTGTACGCTGCAGCCCTCATCTGCCTAGCAGTCCCTTTTAGAGTTGAGAAAAGCTTAGTGAAGCTAGACATTTATTCATTGTAGTAACTACCTTTAAGATAGAAAAAATAGTAAGTGACAAGTTAAGGTTCATAATCATAATGATAAGTCAAGAATGCCATGGTGATAATGTCTCATATTTATGAAGCATTCATGAGGTTGTGGTCACTGTGCCAGCACCTTGTAGACACTTCCGTGCCTTTGTATCTGCTTCTTCCCCAGCTCAGGAGTGTCTTCCTCTTCCTCCCTCCCCACTGCTGCCTGGCCAATTCCATTCATCTTATTGATGATGTCACCTCCTCTGTGAGGCCTGCCGGGGCTGACTTGCTTCCTCCTCTGTGCTCCCTGTGTGTCCCTACGTGCTGGATTGTGATTGCCTGCTTGGGATTTCCTCTGGAGCCAGGACTGGGCTGGGACTCCACCTATGTATGCTCCCAGGTTCCATGCTGCGCAGCTCTGTGCCAGAGGGAGCCGGCTGGGACTGGGCGATGAGTCACCCAGCTCCGTGCCCTCCCAGAGTGAGCAAAGTCTAGCTCTCTTCCGGCTCATAAAGGCTGCTCTTTGCTGAAAAGCCCCCTCTCTTCTGCAGAATCCAGGGCTGCTCTGGGGACTCTTCCTCCACTGAACTCCTGCTCTACTTACGGTTGGATTTTGCAAACTTTGGCCTCGTACCCAGGAGACTTCTGGACCTCATGGTGCCTAACCACACACCCCTTTGCCTCTTGCATGCATGACACAACGGCTGGGCTTGCCAGTTTCCTTCCTGGAATTTTTCTGCTTTCCTGACACCTGCCTGCACCTGGACAGCCTGGATGAGGTCTGCAGAGCTCCAGGATTGGTCACCCCCTGGAGGGGGCGGGAGTGGGGGAGGAGGCTGGAGAGAGGGAAAGGTCCCAGGAATTAATTACCTTGGCCTTTGGTAACTCTGTTGGGCAGCTCAGACTGGGGTGGCAAAGGAAGGAACTAGGTCACCTCTGTAGGAAGGGTAAGGCAGGCTGCCCCCAATCCTTGGCAGAGTAGCTGCAGAGGTTAAATTCAACAAGGCCTGACAGTGGAGAAAGGGCCAGGTCCCTCCCAGGTTTTGAGGCTCCTGGTATATTTAGAAAAGACTTGTCATACTCTGGCCAGATAGTTCAATTGGTTGGAACATCGTCCTGTACACCAAAAGGTTGCAGGTTTGATTCCCAGCCTGGGCACATACCTAGGTTGTGGGTTTGATCCCCAGTCGGGGCACATATGGGGTGGGGGACAACTAATCTATGTTTCTCTCTCACATTGATATTTCCCTATCTCCCTTCCTCTCTCTCAAATCAATAAAAACATATCCTTGGGGTTGGGGATTTAGAAAAAAAGACTTTTCACAATAGCAATACAAAAATCAAAGTCTGTTTTAAACTGTAATTGAGCAAATTAAGTCTTTTCATCATGTATTAAAATGCAGTGTAATATATTTGGACTACAGACAAGGTAATTGGAGGATTTTTTTTTTTTTCATCCTCACCCGAGGACACTTTTTGATATTTTGTTCAGATAGAGTGGGAGGGAGAGAGAAAGAGAGAAACATCGATGTGAAAGGGACACATCGAGTGGTCGCCACCCTCACGACCCAACCAGGGCCGGGAACAAACTGCAACCGAGGTACGTGCCCTTAGCAGGAACCAAACCCAGGTCTCTCCAGGCGGCATGCCGACACTCTAACTGCTGAGCCAAACAGGCCAGGGTGGAGGATTTGTTTTTAGAAGATATTACTTCCTTGGAGAAATGGCTGATTCTAGGGCTGGGGCAGGAAAAAGGTGAGCCCGGAAGGTCTTGTGGTACCAGAGTTAGGAAGTGCTCAAAATACAAAAAGATTGCGGAGATGGGGAGGGATGTCAAAGGGACCCAGGAGCTGAAAGCTCCCAATGCCCAAAACTGCAACAGTTAGAGAAATAAAATAAATAATAGAGTAGCCGGGTAGGTGTGGTTAGTGGGTTGAGCATTGTCCCATGGACTGAGAGGTCCTGGTTCGATTCCCAGTCAGGGCACATGCCCGGGGTTGTGGGCTCGATCCCAAGTAAGGGGCGTGCAGGAGGCAGCCAATTGATGTTTCTCTCTCACATCAATGTTTCTCTCTCTCTCTCCCTAAAAAAATCAATAGAAACACATTAAAAATAAATTAATAAATGACAGAGTATTAGATTATAACCCAAAGCATAAAATACATATCGGTGAGTCCATAGTGGTAGAAATAAGTGATTGACTGAAGAACAAACCAGGGGAGAGAGACAGATCTTTCAAATAGTGTATGTGGATTCTCCCTCCCCCAGCTTCATTATCCCCTCATCCAACAGTCACTTTATAGTGGAGAAGCCTGACAAACACCACCCTGACAAAGTGACCAAGGTTAACATCACCAATAATAAGTCAAGTGGATATCATGTCCCCCAATATTATGTAATGAAG